CAGTTTAAACCACCTCTTACACCTTATGATGAATGCAGTACTTGAAAATAGCGTCATGGTCAAAGAACTCAAGCTGAAATTAAAAAGCAATGCAGATCAAAGACATCAAATTGCTTAAGTCATGCCTATTTTTCATTGTAGGCCTTCTTGGCCAGGTCTCTCTCCTTGCAAAGTTGATTTTTGTTTTTCTTTGTTTGGGAAGTTGCTGAGCACAGCCAAGTCTGGCCACTTCCTTCCATACTGTTTCTTTCACAAGAATGGTCTTCCTGGAAAACGTCTGCAAGGTCACATTACCTACTTTTTTGCTATCTTTTTATCAATGCCCACTGTGTCATTAATATTCTATAGGTGCATGCATTAAACTATAAATATAATGATTAGATATTCCAGGAAGCTCAAGACCCATTGTTTTCTTGGCATTAAAACAGGTTAACTTCACCCATTACCCACCATCAATGGATGCTAGTTACTCTAAACGTCAGAGCTGTTTTTTTCAGTACTAGCAAATCAAATGCTTACCTAGCACTGCACGCAGCAAACGACAATTAAAAGCAATGAAATACCCTACAATAGATAATATAACATTGCATAAAAATGAAGAAGGATATTCATCCTTAATTATGAAGGTCTTGTTATAAGATGAAACATAAACCAAAAGAGTACCTAGTCTTAGGCAAGGAAATGTGGAATTTCTGGACAGGCTTTAACCATTTCATATAAAGTACATTCATACACTACACTGTACACTACACTGTAGCACTGCAAGTTGCTATTAAATTTGGAATTAGGCAATCTGTAGCTCTCGACCTAATTTCATATGGTTTTTGGCCTAAGCTCCAAATACTTCTACTAGAGCTCAATTCAAATGGAAGAGGCACCTGCCTTTCTCCATCAGAGAGAGAAGAAAGAAAATGTGATTCTGTTCATCACTAATTTAAACCTTTTAACAGATTGCTTGGAGCGGATGTGGCTCTCAATAGGAAAAATGCCCTGTAAAATCTATTTTAACATATATTATTGTCATATTCACATTCTGTAATGAGCTTCCAAGTTTTAAAAAAGCAGAAAGTGGTGAAAAATCTGCTATTTTTAGTCACTGTGTGGACAAACAAAAAAACTCTTCCAACTATCCACCCTGAGTCCCTCCATTATTATTACTACTACTACTATTTTATTTGGAGACCACAGTATTGAGAACATGGCTATTCCACAACAAGGTCATATTCCTCTTAAACAAGTTTTTCATGCAGATGATTTATAAATACAGACATTCAAACACACACACACAGAATTGCAAACACTAAAGCCTGAAAGCATTACTCATGACACAATCTAGACATATCTTGACTGTATTCAACCTGTGAGGGGTATAATCTGGCTATACTGAGAAAACAACGAACAATGGGAGAACTAGAAATTAGACCTACAATTATTGTTTTCTGGGAGCAGCCTCTACTGAAAACAACAGGGCTTCCTTTTGAATGTGATGGCAAACCTTTTAGAGATGGAGTGCCCAAACCGGGGCGGGGGGGGGGGGGGGGTAAGTTCTCCATCTATAAGATGGAATGGGGGGAGTGGGCTAGCAAGTGGGGGTAGGCAAGGAAGCAAGGGGCATGGGCAAACAGGTGAGTGAGCAGGGGGGTCAGGCAAGTGGAGGCAGGATGGCAAATGGGGGCAGTTAGCAAATAATAATAATAATAATAATAATAATAATAATAATAATAATAATAATAATATAAACTTTATTTGTACCCCGCCACCATCTCCACCAATGGGGAGTCGGGGCGGCTTACATGAGGCCAAGCCCAAACAACAAATTACAATAAAATAAAATACAAATTACAATAAAATAAACAACATTGCATTAAAGTACAAAACATATAAGCATAATAAACAATATACACAAAACATAAAAAAACAACGCATAATGACAGCGAGCAGGCCGCATGTACATAAAATGAAACTCAGGATGATATGGTAAGGTAAAGGTAGTCCCCTGACATTAAGTCCAGTCATGTCTGACTCTGGGGTGTGATGCTCATCTCCATTTCTAAGCCGAAGAGCCAGCGTTGTCCGTAGACACCTCCAAGGTCATGTGGCCGGCATGACTGCATGGAGCGCCGTTACCTTCCCACCGGAGCGGTACCTATTGATCTACTCACATTTTTGCATGTTTTCGAACTGCTAGGTTGGCAGAAGCTAGGGCTGACAGCGGAAGCTCACGCCGCTCCCCAGAATCGAACCTGCGACCTTTCGATCAACAAGCTCAGCAGCTCAGTGCTTTAACCCACTGCGCCACCAGGGGCGCATATATATATATATATGCATATATATATACATGATATAAAGGAGCAGAATTATTTGTAAGGGAGAACTCGTGGTGATATAGGGTAATAGACAGACCTTCGTACAAGACCTTCATACAAGACCTTCGTATGCCTTGTCATGGGGCATACTCCTATGACAAGAACATTGAGGGGAGCAATAGCATAAGATTATGTGACTACTCTCCAAAAGCGCAACGGCAGAGCCAGGTCTTGAGATTCTTTTTAAAGGTTTCTAAGGTAGGGGCTTTCCTAATCTCTCCGGGCAATGAGTTCCAGAGTCGGGGGGCCACAGAGGAGAATGCTCTCTCCCTTGTACCCACAAGGCAAGCCTGAGAAACTGGCAAGGGTGAAAGGAGGGCCTCCTCTGAAGATCGAAGAGTTTGGGCTGGTTCATGGAGATGAGCAAGCAAGGGCGTGAGCAAACAAGTGAGCAAGGGTGGGATGACAAGTGAGATGGGCGGGCAAATGGGTGAGTGGGGAGATGATGGTGGGTGATGGTGTGAGAGAGGGCACTGTGTGCTCCTTCTGGCACACACGGCATAGGTTCGCCACCACTGCCTTACTCGTTATCATTTTTCTGCCCAGTTGAAATAACTTAAATGTTTTCTTCTGGCATTGTAGATTATTTTGTTGTTTCTCTATTTAATATGGTTTAATTTAATTTATAGTTATACGTTATCGTTGTTTTATACTAGGTTTTTTATATGTTGTAAAGCATTGAATTTTGGTTACGGCTTTGAGTCCTCCTGGGGGAGAAGTAAATAAATTAAGTAAATAAATAAATAAAAACTGAAGTGGAGCTTTTATTTAATGTAATGGTTTGTTGAAAATTAAAATGGTTTCAATTATACCAGTTTGGTCACACACTAAAAGCAAATTATTCAGCACATTCTTATATTCAGATTGCTGATTGTTGAGAACTGCTCAATTCTCAAGAGCAAAACGGCTGTCACTACGGGCAGTGAGCCACAGCTATGGAAACCAATAGGGGCTGGAAGGGAGTTGCAATATCCATTCATTTAGAGCAACAGTTCTCAAAGCGTGCTCTGTGGAGCCCTTGGGGCTCCATGATGAATACTGAAGGGCTCCATGGTTCCCTCCTCCCCTTGCTGCTACCTGATGCTAAATGGCAATTTATAAAGGATTATGGTAGTTGCATCTAGTAGACCTGGAAGGCTATAATGTTCATAGTCTTATCCAACAGAGAAGTTTAGCAAAGCCAACCATATAGAGAGAGGGGGGGGGGGAGATAGTCTTCAACTCAATCTCCTCTTTCCCTATATTTCTGGTAGGGTTCTTCTCAGTAGCTCCAAGTAATCCTAGATCATATCCAGGATTTTACATATTTTCTTGCATAACATGAAGAATTGTACACTCAGATAAGCAAGTAAAACGCATTGGCTTCCATGTCTAAAATGACTTCTATATGATAAAAGTTGAAATCCTTCAAAACTCCAGACATGTTGCACCAGGACACAATATTTGAGACTTCTACAATAATGGGAAACTACAAAGTCCCTGTTACAGTCACCACAATATAAATAAATACAAACACAAGTTGAATATCCCTTATCCAAAATTCTTAAGTCCAAAATCATTGGCTTGGTCACTTTTTTTTAAAAAAAAAAATCCTTACATTTCCATATACAGTAGAGTCTCACTTATCCAACCTTTACTCATCCAACATTCTGTATTATCCAACGCAGTCTTCCTCCCACCCGGATCCACAGTTGTATCAATACATTGTGATGTTTTGATGCTAAATTCATAAATATAGTAATTACTACATAACGTTACCATGTATTGATTGAACTGCTTTTTCTGTCGATTTATTGTAAAACATGATGTGCTTAATTTGTAAAATCATAATGTAATTTGACAGTTAATAGGTTTTTCCTTAATCCCTCCTTATTATCCAACATTTTCACTTACCCAATGTTCTGCCAGCCCGTTTATGTTGGATAAGCAATACTCTATTGTAATAAAAAATTAGGTATCTCTGATATGAAACTCAGGCCCAAAGATTAAAGTCACTTATGTTTCACATATATCATATACACATAAGCTGAAGGTGATTTTATATAGTATTTTTAATAATTCTGTGCATGAAACAAAGTTTGTGTATAATGAACCCTCAGAAAGCAAACCTTCGTCATCACAGCCATAGTTTTCATAGTTTGAAATTCTGGATAAGGGATGCTCAGTCTGTACATCATCCAGGAAGATATACAACAAAAGTTTGGAACTGCATATGCCACACACTATATTCTATTCACATGCATACAAAAGCAGGACTAGAAATTGAAATGTTAAAACTACATTTAAATATGAGAGGATGTACAGTACTTAGAGCCCATTTTCTGTACCAAAAAAAAAACCCAGATGCATTATCTGCAAGAAAAGTGTGCATCTGAACAGAAGAAACCTGCTTTGTTCAGTAAAAAAAAACACCAGCAGCATCTACTATTAAACAAGAGAAATCTGAGGTCAGGAAACATTTAACTTCAGAGAATCAACAACTATTTTAAATGCCAAGCAATTCACAAATCATAAACTTATATGAATTCATCAGAGTCTGCAGAGTTGCCATTCTTTTCACAAACAATTTTAACCTCCAAATAAAAAAAAATCAGGAAAAATGCATAAATTGAAAAAATATAGTAAATGAATTACCTATCTCCCTTTGGCTTTCTTTTCTGTACTGTTTTTCCTTTGGGTCGTCTCTCACTTCCTAAACAAGGAATCCCACCTGGACCTGTTACCCGTATTGATTCAAGGCCTTTGGAAGATTTCTTAAATGTAAATTCCACTGGTTCTCCTTCTTTTAGGCTTCTAAATCCTTCCATGTAAAGCTTGCTCTGCAAACAGGAAAAATATTCTTAGTTACCATAGACTTAAAAAAAAAAAGAAAGAAATTTTCTTGAAGGCTGTCAAAAACAAATGCACAAAGCAGGATTATATTTGTAATCCTGTTACATAGTTCCCCTAGAGCACAGAATTAGTGTGGCATTTCCTAAATGAAACCCAGCTAAGTAACTTGGGTCTTACTGCTCCATTTTGGAACAGATTTATTTGACTTCTAAGTGCCCACAACTGAGTGCATGTAGGAAACACTGTGCCATTACACATGGAGTACCCTTAGATAATGCCAAAGTATAGAAGCAAAACTTACTGACATGTGAGCAGCTTGTGTGTAGCTTAATAACATGTAAACCTCTGAATTAGAAGCTACAGAACAACTGTTCTGCATCAATAAATGGCTCTTTGATTACTTTCCATTCCTAGTTGATTTAAATGGGCATTTAAAACAAAAGGAATTGACAATTTTATCACTGTTCTACTGGTTTTATGTCAGAGCTTTCCAAACTGTGAGTTTGTGTGTCACATGAACATAACAAAATATCTCTGGAGTCTATGTGAATGAGCAATAACTCATTTACTTTGAAAATATATAAATGAAAGGTTTCTATGACATATATGGTGTGTCCATACATTTCATTGTTACAATGTATGTATTTATCAGTTTCTCTACATTGGGTTGATTTAAACTCTGGTTTGCTAGCAAAATTGAATTGCTGTGTTGTGAAATGATTCGTGTCTACGAAGTGTGTCACCAATATGAAATTTGAAATGTTTGGAAAGCTGTTTTATGTTATACTAGTGGTTCTCAACCTTCCTAATGCCGTGACCCCATAAGACAGTTCCTCATGTTGTGATGACTCCCAACTATAAAATCATTTTCGTTGCTACTTCATAACTGTAATTTTGCTACTGTTGTGAATCGTAATGTAAATATCTGATATGCAGAGTGTATTTTGGACCAAGTTTGGCACAAACACCCAGTACGCCTAAATTTGAATACTGGTAGGGTTGCGCGGGGGGGGGGGGGGATTGATTTTGTCACTTGGGCGCTGTAGTTGCTGGGATTTGTAGTTCACCTACAATCAAAGAGCACTCTGAACTCACCCAATGATGGAATTGAGCCAGACTTGGCACACAGAACTCCCATGACCAACAAAAATACTGGAAGGGTTTGGTGGACATGTACCTTGAGTTTTGGAGTTGTACAGCCAGAGAGTTGTACAGAGAGTTTGTGGACTCAAACAATGATGGATCTGGACCAAACTTGGCACAAATACTCAATATGTCCAAATGTAAACACTGGAAGAGTTTGGAGAAAACAGACCTTGACATTTGGGAGTTATAGCTGCTGAAATTTGTAGTTCACCTACAATCAAAGAGCATTCTGAACCCAACCAACGATAGAATTGGGCCAAATTTTCCACACAGAACCCCCATGACCTGTTGTCATGGGGGTTCATGATACTGTGTTTTCTTATGGTCTTCGGTGACCCCTCAGACACCCCCTCACAACCACCCCGGGGTTCTGACCCCCAGGTTGAGAAACGCTGTGTTATACCATTCCATCATGTTTACAGGGTTACTAGATATAGATTTTAAGTTGGGATCTCCAAGATTTTAATGGATGTCAAGGTTTTGTTGATCACGTTGAGTACCTGTCAGTTCCAAAAACAATTATAAAATGGCAAAGCATGTACACATTCAAATAATTTGCTTCTGGTCAATTCTAAAACATTTGGCTGTTGCGTGTGTTTGTTTTTATAAAACGTATCAGAGAAGAGTTGCATAAGTTTTCAACTGAATTAATCTATCTTAGAATCATAGAATCAGAGAATCAAAGAGTTGGAAGAGACCTCATGGGCCATCCAGTCCAACCCCCTGCCAAGAAGCAGGAATATTGCATTCAAATCACCCCTGACAGATGGCCATCCAGCCCCTGTTTAAAAGCTTCCAAAGAAGGAGCCTCCACCACACTCCGGGGCAGAGAGTTCCACTGCTGAACGGCTCTCACAGTCAGGAAGTTCTTCCTCATGTTCAGATGGAATCTCCTCTCTTGTAGTTTGAAGCCATTGTTCCGCATACTAGTCTCCAGGGAAGCAGAAAACAAGCTTGCTCCCTCCTCCCTGTGGCTTCCTCTCACATATTTATACATGGCTATCATATCTCCTCTCAGCCTTCTCTTCTTCAGGCTAAACATGCCCAGCTCCTTAAGCCTCTCCTCATAGGGCTTGTTCTCCAGACCTTTTATCATTTTAGTCGCTCTCCTCTGGACACATTCCAGCTTGTCAATATCTCTCTTGAATTGTGGTGCCCAGAACTGGACACAATATTCCAGATGTGATCTAACCAAAACAGAATAGAGGGGTAGCATTACTTCCCTAGATCTAGACACTATGCTCCTATTGATGCAGGCCAAAATCCCATTGGCTTTTTTTGCCGCCACATCACATTGTTGGCTCATGTTTAACTTGTTGTCCACGAGGACTCCAAGATCTTTTTCACACGTACTGCTCTCGAGCCAGGCATCCCCCATTCTGTATCTTTGCATTTCGTTTTTCCTGCCAAAGTGGAGTATCTTGCATTTGTCACTGTTGAACTTCATTTTGTTAGTTTTGACCCATCTCTCTAATCTGTCAAGATCGTTTTGAATCCTGCTCCTGTCCTCTGGAGTATTGGCTATCCCTCCCAATTTGGTGTCGTCTGCAAACTTGATGATCCTGCCTTCTAACCCTTCATCTAAGTCATTAATAAAGATGTTGAACAGGACCGGGCCCAGGACGGAACCCTGCGGCACTCCGCTTGTCACTTCTTTCCAGGATGAAGAGGAAGCATTGGTGAGCACCCTCTGGGTTCGTCCATTTAACCAATTACAGATCCACCTCACCGTAGTTTTGCCTAGCCCACATCTCCTATACTTACATGTCAACTTCTTGGGTTTGATTCAAAAGGTTTTCATAAGAATGATACATGGGGGAAGGGGGGGGGGGAGAAGGTAGTTTTCCAGAGTAGCAGAAATACCATATGTTAACTAAAGGAAAATGTTGGGAGAACCCTTTGAGAAGAATAATCACATTAATAATAGCCTTCAGGAAAACCATTCAGGAAAACCTACATAGATTGTGGTCCATACAGTAAATGGTTTAAAGGCCAATTAGAACTATGACCTGAAAACAGCACCACCAATGTTCCTCTGGGGTTTCAGTTTTATTCTCAATTCTACTACCTGTTTAAGAAGGCTAAAATTGCGCATTGTGCCCAGCATGAGTGGGTGCTTCAGAATCTGACTTAAATTCACAAAAGGAAGGAAACTCGAAGTTGGGCTCATTATGGGTGGCTATTCTCTTGATATGCGTGTGTCACTCCTATTAGCATGGGCACATGGGAGGAAGAAAAGGCCTCTATAATGAGCCTTAATTCAAAATTTTCTCTCTTTTGTGGGCTTCCAGTTAGGGTCTAAACACCTGCTGATGCAGCATGGAAAGCTCAAGAAAAACACACACATTTTGCTTTGAGAGATTCTGCTTACACCCAACCTCTCGGTTTCCTTACTTTTAATTTAATTAGCTGGAAGCATAACCTTGCCATTAAATCAGCATGCTCAACAACTTCGGATCCAAAATGTGTATCAACCAATTTTAAATATAAAAAAGCTAATCACTAGTACTTGTTCATATTTTATACTTGTCAGGGTTGTTTTTGCACTTCAGAGCTATCCTCGCCCCCCTTCCTTTGTCTGCTGTGCCTACTACAAGCAAAACAACAAACTATGACATCTTATGTGGTCCCCCAAATATATTATAAAGCAATTGGATGTTAAAATCCTTGCTTTGGTTGAGATCTGCTAAGTTTCCTACATGCCTGCTGAATTACTTCTCTGAATGCTTTTCACAATATATTCATACTCCCCCATCCCAAAGGAATGAGATGTTTTCAAACAAGCAAACAAAGTGTAACTGTCAGGATGGAAAGTGAACTTATGAATCTACAAAGCTACAAAGCTTTGGAATGGAAATGCAGTTTCTCTGGCCAACACAGAAGGATTTTCTTAAAGCAGTGAAACCATCTCTAACTATTCCTTGCCTTTAAAAATCCTCTGAAATTCACAGTCACCCTAAGGTGACAGACAACATACACACAAATATGAACCATTAAACTATTTGCATCAAAAGGACTATATTTATGGATCACTTTCAAAGGAATACAGATCGGTTTACTACACACAACTCAAGAAAGCATTCAATTGTTCAGATATTTAAAGAAGAATCCTACTTGCTTTAACACGGCTAATAATAAATTAGATTTCCAAGTCAGCCTGTCATGTCCTTTTCTAAACCAAGGCTAAATCAACTACTTCTTGTATAAAATAAACATGCAAATATTATGCAACAGAAATGGCAAGGTGTTATTTGCTCCACTTGTGTACCTTCTATAGTACATGTGTATTCACAGGATTAACAAGAGAAATTGCTGGTGCATATGGCCACATCATCGGGTGCATATGTACCAGCTGGGATTCTGCTCTTTCTTTAAAGTCCTCTCAACAGAGATTCGAGCCTATTAATGCCCTCTTAGGCCTGCATAAAGCCAATAAATTACTTGGGAGCCTGAAGTGTCACCAAATCATATAGGTTGGCTTATTTCCTTTAAAATGTGGAACAAGTTAAACTTATTTTCAATCATTATAATGGGAATTCGTTTTTTATTAAAATTATTTGTTATGTAACTAGCTGTATTTTAAAGGCATGCTTTCATGAGCTGTTAAATAATATTTGAATGGCTATGTAAACACAATTTGCACTGCATTATACATTTATTATTGTTTGATCAGCCTAATTGTTTATTATCATTTAAAAAATGAAGAAAAGTTCACTAGTGAAAGTTTCAGAGAAGTACAAGTAAAGCACAAATATATAACCTACTATCTCCTTCAACATTGTGAGTGATGATCACAGCCAAAGCAGATTTTACTAATGATGTCTTGGAGGAAATGATTTTA